AGTCGATTCTTGAGAGAGAAGGTTATATTTTATCAATTTTTTCATCTCTACTGGTCAAGTTTATCTTCGAAGCCATTCAAGTACCGAAACCTACAGCAAAAACGTCTTGGTATACTGCGCCAAAATCTATATACAGCTACTAAACAAACTCCAGCGAAGGTTGTAGGACTACTTTTAAGTCGATTCTTGAAAGTCGAGATTTTCACCCTCTAAAGTTTTCTAAGTTATTCTTCACTACCAACATAAGCTCTTCAAAGCTTCACTAGTCGGAAATGCTCCGTTTTATATTATTCTAACTCCACTAAAATTAATAAGTACTGTAGACATGGAGCCAAAATAGAGATTTATAGCTTAAGAAAGTGATGTAGACACTATTTCCAGCCTAGTGTATTTACTTTTTTTTTTAAAGAGTCCCTAGTTGTAGACTTGAAAATATAATCGTTTCGTTTTGATTGAACTTGTTTCTGTTCTTTTTTCACGATCCCTGTTACCCATTTTATATTAAAAACTTTTGATTATTTTGTGATGAAATTATATCGGGTTCCAGTGACCGTATTTGGTGTTCTGATTATGTCTGATCCTACATTTTTGTACCTGTAAAGTATGTGTATATTTCTTTTATAGAGTTATAGCCTGCATAGCGGGCATGTCCCCCTGTTCATTTTCTCATATCAACCGCACTAGTATTATGCGACAAACAAGAAGAAAAATATGTTACATTAATTTCAAGGCCCAATTTTAATACGGCAAATGATAATAATAAATAGAATTATGCGGCCAAGATTTTGAGATTGTTTTCCATTAAACTGTTGATTATGGAGTGTTTATACAGAGAAAAAAAAATATGGACTGCTTATGCGGCAAAATTAAAAACTATGCAACTCTTACCTAATTAAAAACAGCATCAAACAATAACATTTATTATATATATATATAAAACTGCACCATCATTCATTAACAACAATTTAACTATTTTATTTTTTTATGAAATAAAAACAAACGCGGTTTTAGACTTTAAAATATTTTTTATAGGCCATTAATCAGACCGTCTCGCTAGGGGACACCACTAGCCAAGCAACAAGAAACAAACAAAGTCAAGACGAAGTCAAAGGCTATAAATTTGGTAACACCGAACCAGACTTCACTTTACACACTCTAGAAATTGAGACTTCGATTATGCCGTCAGCCACTGGTTATACGATTATATGTAAGTATAATGAAAAGTAAATGCCGCGTGATCGCGTTATACTTAAGGCCCTGTAATTTGTACACTTAGATAGTAATATTTTAATATGCATAATTTTTTTAAACATCAAGGCGTTAGTCCAAAGCAACAAATTTCCTACATATATACTTTATCATGATAAACTTAAGCTAAATAATAACATTTGCACTGTAGATTTTACAGATGATTTGATCTTTTGTCAGATTGGTGGACTTTATCGTCACACTAATATTTTGTAAACAGACACTCGTAAAAGTACACACTAAAACAACACACATTTAGACAAACTTTAAAATTTTATTATCACAACGTAACACGCATTGTTTTCCCGTTGTTAAATGCACAAAACTGTTACCATATTAATAAAATGGAGGGAAAACATACATCAATATCATCGAACAATATACATTTAAAATATCGAGTTCAGTGTAATGGGACTTGAGTTAAATCAAAGGCTTGTTCAATATAGGCCCTAAATGTGTGCTCTGCCTCCTACTGGGTATACCAATAGATGTCACTGACATAAACTTTTCAGGTATACAATATCATATACTGTATCTATAAACCTCATTAATAACACTGTAAATAATATTTTTTCTGTTTAAGAGAATAGTATGATATTTAGTGGAAGTGTCAAGTCGTGGGAGAAAAAAGAATAATAGAGTAGAACAATAAATACGTTTTAGGCAGGAGTGGAGTCGTCTAATTTAATACATTTTGGATAGTTTTAAATGACATGGGTTGAACTTTGTTTTTGTTTTACCTTCATAATAATTGCTTTGATTCTGTCGGTAAAAGAATGTGAGCCAAGTAAACTGTAATAGTTAGTATTTGTTATAAATATTTAAATTATTAAAGGCTATATGTTAGATTTTTTTTGTTTTGGTACAATTTAATCGAAAGCTTCAGTTTTTATTTCTTAGTATAATATTATAAAATGTCACGAGATGGCGACAGTTGCATTATGATCTTAAGCATGTCGAAGTATATGTGTGTGTGTACAAAGGTAATGAATTATTTATAGAAATTAATAAAAACCCTATAAACCGAACGCTTTCGAAAGGTGGACCTTTATTCTTTAGTTTGCCCGTGAAAAAGAAAGGTCCACCTTTCGAAAGCGCTCGGGTTATAGGGCTTTTATTCATTTCTATCAAGACTTCTTGAACCTACGTGTTTTTCTAACATCATGAAGGTATTCTGGTGTATGGGTACAGTTTTTTCTTTTAACCGTAGAATTACCGATATGGGTGTATTTGGACCTCATGGGCTTTCTAAACACTTTTTTTTTCTTCTAAACTATGCTATATATATATGAACTAAACTGGTTGTGGGTCCTAATCCTTTTTGGTTCGGCCCGTACGCAGAATGTTTGAAAGGGGGGTTGTAATTTGTGATTTGTGAGATCAAAAGCCAACACATGTTGTGCAAAGCATGCTAATGCTACAAAGGTCTGGGGAGCATGCCCCCCCCCCAGAAAAATTAAAAATAGGTCCTGTGAACTTAAATCTGAAAGCAATTTTTAATGAAATATAACTTAAACAATTACATGGCTGTTCACATAAAATCTACAAACATCCAATAAAAAGTCAATAAATCATCATTCTGTTGTAACACTGCATGGGGAGCTAGACGTAAATTAACATAACTATGTATGTTTTATTATATTAAAGTACTGTACTATCTACATACAGAGCAGTTATTAATGGAATGATTGAAATAGCTAATATAATATTGTTTTACAGAGTTGTTTAAATTAGTAATATAATTTAAAAAGTCCACACAGGCTGAATAATCACCTGAGGTGTACACAAACCGAAGAAAGACTAAGTGTTCTGGCTTTTATACATAATCATTATGACACTGCTATCAACATTGAAACTGTATGTATGAGATTTATGGAAAAAGTACCCCCAGAAGAATTAAGCATGCTAACATGTTATTTCAGTAGTGCATACATGTATGTATATGATAGCAATGTTACGATCAATCCCACCATTCGTTGGTAAAAGAGTAGCCCAAGAGTTGGCGGTGGATGGTGATGACTAGCTGCCTTCCCTCTAGTCTTTCACTGCTAAATTAGGAACGGATAGCGCAGATATCCCTCGTGTAACTTTGCGCGAAATTGAAAACCAAACCAAATCAGTCTTTCTTCGGTTCGTGTAGACCTCGGGTAATTAATTATTCAGCCGGCAGGGAGCAGATGCAAAACATTCACGTGAATGTATTTTTCTTTCAAATTTTTTACAGTATTGTGTTTTACATTAAAAATAGCGGGTTCTGCCGAACCCCCTCGAAACCCCCTGCGTATATATATATCATTCTTACATTGTTATTCTGTCGTAAAATAGTAGTATGTTTTACGTTTGTTCAGGTGTAAGTGTATGATCCATGATTAACTTATTTCAAGGATACTTAGTCTGCTTGTTGTTTATGTTTTACGTTTGTTCAGGTGTAAGTGTATGATCCGTGATTAACTTATTTCAAGGATACTTAGTCTGCTTGTTGTTTATGTTTTACGTTTGTTCAGGTGTAAGTGTATGATCCATGATTAACTTATTTCAAGGATACTTAGTCTGCTTGTTGTTGTTTTTTTAACCAGATGTGAAGAGTTACGTTGTGGTGCTCCGTGTGCAGAAGGTCAAAGATTCCGTCCTTACTTACAAAACTGAAATGTCTAACAGTCTGTCTCTAGAGTTTAAAGAGCTTGCTGCTCTGACTAAGAAAGCCGTAAGTATCTTATATCCTCACACGAAATGATTTTCTGTTGTCGTATTGTGTAACAACTATCGAGTCGTCACTGTTCCAGATCATCTTGCTTGTTAGTTGTCCAGGAAATAAAAAAAAATTAAACACTGTTTTTATACGAGTATCAAAACTGGTTTTATATAGACAGCAAGAATAAGAAATGTAATATATATTCAATTAAATATTAAGTCAGTTTATGATTTTTAATTTCACAAAAAAGCTTCCATGCTATAGCCATATGCGCGAATAACTTTCCGTAAACAAGGGCTAGGAAAAAAATAAATAAAATTACAACACGTAATGGTTGTAATTACTTTGTAAGATAACTTTTTTAGTTTTGATATAATTATTCATTTTTCAACAAAAATTTTGTTTACTTTTGTTACTCGTCATTAGTGCCTTGGGAGATTTTGTGGAAATTGTGTACATGGAAAACTGGTTATTTGATGTCAATATCAATTATATTGAAATAATTCACCAGTATTAATTAAAACAGAATTACAAAGTTAAATGTTTGTTTCTTTTTTTTTTCTTCCTTTCATTCTCTTCCCATCTGTCACGCAGGTTACGCAAGCATATAAGAATTCAAAGGTCAAAGAAGGTTACGTTAGTGCCGATGTTAACAGTATTATGAACATTAAAAAGCTGAATAAGCCAAAGGAGTTGCAGGAAGGAGTTTTGGTAAACTTTACAGTTCGGGTTAAGCGAAGTTCTGAAATAGACGAGAATGTGTTGAAGAAGGAGCTCTCACGTTCTATCCTAGCTTCTAACTACAGTGTTGGAAACACAGAACTATACGTCAGTCCTTCGGTACAAAGTGTACAGAACGCTCAAGGTAAGTAAAGAAGATTTATATCTTATAGCTTATTTTGAAAAGCTGCGCACACAGGCAAAGCTCAACATTCACTTTTGAAATGACGGGAGAACATGATTGAATAATATTGACGCCAAATTTTATTTCGCAAACAGGATATTCTGCAGTAAGTTGTTAGGAATTAATCACACTATCATTAACATTTCAAAATGACGTAACTTAATGAATAAAAATGTAGATTTATTGTATGTTATTGTTGAACGTTTCTTAGCATGACTGAAATGCTCAACAATTAATTTTCGCGGTGGTTGGCATAAGTAGCTTACAGCTTTGCCTCTGAGTGAAACCAAAAGTGCAACACGATTAACCGTTTTAAAGGCCATGAAATGATTTAAATTGCTAGAATAACTTCAACTTTTCCAGTCTCTGGGGAGGGGTACTTTTGCTAGATTAACTTCAACTTTTCCAGTCACTGGGGACGGGTACTTTTGCTAGATTAACTTCAACTTTTCCAGTCACTGGGGACGGGTACTTTTGCTAGATTAACTTCAACTTTTCCAGTCACTGGGGACGGGTACTTTGCTAGAATAACTTCAACATTTCCAGTCACTGGGGATGGGTACCTTTGCTAGAATAACTTCAACATTTCCAGTCACTGAGGATGGGTACTTCTGCTAGATTAACTTCAACGTTTCCAGTCACTGGGGACGGGTACTTTTGCTAGAATAACTTCAACATTTCCAGTCACTGGGGATGGGTACTTTTACAAGATTAACTTCAACATTTCCAGTCACTGGGGATGGGTACTTTTACAAGATTAACTTCAACTTTTCCAGTCACTGGGGACGAGTACATTTGCTTCTATTATTATTTAACCTGTTTATTTGTCTCTATTCTTTCTCACTTTGTATTTAAATATTAAAAAGAAAGAATGCTAGCAGACAGTGTTTTACTACAGGCTTGGACTTTCACTTGCACTTGACTAAGGTAGAAAACAAACAGTTAGTTATAAAACTCTGTCGAACCAAATTGTGTGTCAAAATATGAACACGAATCGAAATTAAAATGTAAACTTAGAGAGACGTAAATGAATAATTAGAGACTCGGATTTCGATGTTCAAGAACAGCAGATTATGTAGTGAGTTTTTTAAGTTGATTCTAAGAACCTGCACCCAGTGTGAAAAAATAGTTTAGAAAAGAATAAAGAATTGAGTTTTTGTTGTGCAACACTTAATATTTCAAATAAGTCTAATACCAACCGTCGAAATATAGTGGTTCATCGTCTGAAATTGTAACCAATCGCGATTTTTTTTTAGCTATTTTAAAATTTCACAACCTTAGGACAACCAACAAAGACTGCTATTCAGACTTCAACGTGAGCTGTGCCACTTTCATATTACGACATTTTAAACTGTCTTTCTAATATAACTGGGTTTTGATGGTTGTATAAGTCATCGAGTTGATCCGTATTTTCTTGTTTATTATTTTTTTTCTGTTTTTAAAACTAATAAGTATCATAAATCGAAATGACTTTTTTGATTTTTGGTTCGGACTATAGTTTTAATAAACTGTAATTAACACGTTTAAGATATTCCGTTTTGAATCAATGTGTTTTAATTCATCAGATTTTGATGAATGTTCGGATGATTACAATGACTGTGGAAGAGCAGCTATGTGCATCAACCAGCCAGGAACATTTACCTGTAAATGTAAGGATGGATATGAAGACCTGAATCCCAGCTTACCGGGCCGAGTGTGCTTAGGTAGGATAGAATACATTTGAAAGTTCTTTATTATTTGTTACTTGTTTCTGATGAGGTTAAGAAACCATTTTGCTTGTAAACCGATTAAGTGTTCTAGTTTTTGTTGTTTGCGTTTGACAATAATTTTACTTTTTTGTATTTAGAAGTGGAATTTACAGAACTGATATACTAATTACTAAATCATACAACACCGCTGAAGACTGGTTGATTAAAGTAACAATACAAAGTAGAATTTGGACACAGTACTTTGTCATCCACTCTATCTGACAGCAAAGAAAATATTTTTCTTCACATTTCGTCTAATGCGGGTCTAAGTGGTTATGGCGCTTGACTCGCAATCTGAGGGTCGCGGATTAAAATCCCCAACCCCTCAAAGATGCTCGCCCTTTCAGCCATGGGGGCATTGTAATAATACGGTCAATCCCACTGTTCGTTGGTAAAAGAGGAGCCCAAGAGTTGACTTTCACTGCTAAATTAGGCACGGATAGCGCATATAACCCTCGTGTGGATTTGCGCGAAATTCAAATCAAACCAAAAACCATTGTCTAATGCGATTTTAAGAACTTATTGATTTTATTGTAGGTGAGATCAAAGACTGTGAATACTGCAATGGTCGAGGAGATTGTACCATAGCCGATAAAGGGGCCAGGATTTGCAGGTAGGCTGAAAAACCAATCTTTTAGCTATTGTCTGTTTTAATTTTTAGAAGATATTTGAAAAATAATGATACGGCTGTTTCAGTGATCCTAATTATTCAGACCACAAATTTCACCAATGCGGTTAACTGTTTATTTTTGTTTAAGCGCAAAGTTGTACTCAATATGCACTGTACTGAATGCAGGGATCAAACCCCGAAATTTACCGCTGAACCACCAAGAGAAAATACCCTAGATATATCAATATGTTTTACAGCGTAATCCATAAAGACAAGGAACACTGTCCTTAAAACCGTGAGATTAAACATTTATGTCAAAGTAATCAATCGTTTTGGTTTTAATTATCGTTGGTGAGACTGATAAAGAAAACAGTACAAGACGAGCGACTTGATTTAACTTATTATCGTTGGTGAGACTGATAAAGAAAACAGTACAATACGAGCGACTTGATTTAACTTATTATCGTTGGTGAGACTGATAAAGAAAACAGTACAATACGAGCGACTTGATTTAACTTATTATCGTTGGTGAGACTGATAAAGAAAACAGTACAATACGAGCGACTTGATTTAACTTATTATCGTTGGTGAGACTGATAAAGAAAACAGTACAATACGAGCGACTTGATTTAACTTATTATCGACCTTCAGTTACTTAAACATATCTGTAAGTTGGAAATTTCTTGTTTGTTTGTCTGCTGTTAAGCACAAAGCTACACAGTGGGCTACTTGTGCTATGCCCACCACAGATATTGTGTTAGCGTCGTAAGCCTGCAGACTTACCGCTGAACCACTGGGGGGGGGGGGGCAAATGTAAACGAACCAGATGTCGTTGTTTGTTATTAAGGGCTATCTGTGCTCTGCCCACCACGGGTATCGAAACCCGGTTTATTAGCAGTATTAGTCCGCAGACATACGGCTGTGCCAGTGGGGGCGTTTTTTTTACAGGATGAAAGACGTGCATGTATAACTTTTACTTTAGGAGTTATTAATAATGAATCTGTATTATTATTATTATATTGTTAAATATTTTGTTTGCATCTAGTATCACCTAGTTGATGTTCAGGATATTTCGGTAGAAATACAAGCCATCACAAAGAGAGAGTAACACACAGGAATTGTAATATGTCGAGTATCTGTACTTATAAATAAATAAAAACCCTTCCATTTTTTTCCAGTTGTCATCGTATGTATTTTGGTAGAAGATGTGAGATCAACGGTTTGAGTAAGTCCAATTTTGATTTTTCCTTACACTAAACTTTCCACGTGCTATACTGTTTACACATGACTTTACAACCGAAGATAGGGGGTTTTCTTAAATATTTGACATTTTATGGTAAACCCAAAACATTTCTAGAAGGAAGAGAATGTTTGGACCTCAGAAATACGACCCAAACACCACTACTGACTTTTTGACCAATAAGAATATGTTACTTAAATACTGGAAGCAAAATCGCCAATTGATTGATATTATCTCCAAATGCGAACACGAAGATATTATTTTCCTAACAAGTTATTAATCTTACATACTTTGACTTTTTTGTAATCTAATTTTCTTTTTAAAGTCTGATTTTGTTCGCTTTGTTTTACTTAAAATCAAAAGGATATTCACAGTTTTTTCTCATCTTTTACAACTAAGTTATTATACACTTATTTAAAACTTTGAGCGTTAACGATGTTCCCGCCATCTAGTGTTATGTGATTATTGTAGAATTATTCAAACTGTTATCGGAACTCGACTTGTTATATAATTTAATACAGGGAATGTTTGATCAAAATAATACTTTCACCAGGTTATGATTAAAATATCTTTCAACTATTGTTATTTTATTTTTTATTTCAAATTGTAAACTAATCATAAAGTAATTTTTTCCCCCCACCAATCATAAATTATTTCCTTAAAAGCCACGATGAAACTAAATCTCGTGCTGTATACAAAAGGTACAACCACAGTATACGATTTTTACCGCTAACGTTTCTAATTTACGTCTCTATTAACGATTCTTTACCTGTATTAAGCTTCAAACTGTTCACTATAAATCCACTTTAAATTTGGTAGAACAACTTTTCCCGGCATTTGCATTCTATTACATCATGATGATTATCAGTTTTTTTTATTTGAAAAAGGACGAAGGACTTTTCTCGCCTTACAGCTTTAGAAATAATCACATAGATTTCACGTTGACATAAGACTTTCTTTTGTTCCACAACTTTACCTTCTTTACTACGTTCTCTTATTTGCCTTGTTTTATTGTATATTGACTTCATGGATCCTCACTTTGTGTGTGTGTGTATTTAAACGTGTGTTATATTTACAATTTTTTTCATATATAGTTGTATACATAATTTGTCTTATCCTTTAATAACCCAACTGATTATTTGCGTTCATAAGATAGAAAAGTTTTACGGTTTTCCGTTTGTTCCAATCAACACCATCAGGTTAAAGTCTGCATTACAGCTTGATATATATATGTATCAAATTCATTTTTATTATATATATATATATATATATGCATCTTGTATACAACATACAGATGTTTAAACCTTTTTTTTTCGTCCCTCAGTTTTAGCCATTGTCCTACCCATTGCTGCGATCCTCTTTATTCTACTTAGCTGTTGTCTACTTCATTGGTGTCGCCGTTCGCGTCGTCAGCATCAGAAAGAGGATAAAAGCAAACCCATGACTTATACCTTGGGAATGAACAATGAGACACCAACAGAAGGCATCGTAGACAGAAAGTCTATGATATTTGACTCGTCCAGTGAGGGCAGCATTGACCATGGCATTCGTCACCCTTACGCCTTTGATGGTCCTTACCAGGTGAATATCTTCTTACTGTAACGTTTTACGTTGTATTCTTTTTATATGTACTCTTTTGTCATAAAGTTGAAATTGTAATAAGTGCAAAAGGTTTCTAAAAATACCTTGAAACAGTTCATTAGAATCCGATAACCAAAGTGACAAAAATACACAAACTCGTGTACTCATAAACTAAATAATAAGTTATACAATAAAGTTTGCGTCAGACTTGATTGTACTTTACTTCATTTTACAGAGCAACGCTGTAAAACAATTTTAATATTCAGTTTGTAATTTTTTTAAATAAAATCTACAATGGCTTGTTTTTTGTTTCATTTGCTTATAACCAGATTTGAGACTGCTTTTACACCTTACTAACTTAAACTTACACCTTTATTTTTGTATTACTTTAAGACGTCATCTCACTAAATATACACTTCATGTACAGGGTGTCAAAAAGTAACAGTACTCTGGAGGATGTCTAGATGAAATGGATTTCTTGACGATAAAATCTATTCAGATAACTTAAACTATAACTTAGATGAGAACGGATTCAAAGATGTTTAATCGTAAAAACTGCTGTCGCTAACTAACTTTATGATAAAAGACAACAACTTGTATAACGATGAACTATGGTTCTGTTACTCTTGGAAAACTCTGTATACACGTGTTACAAGTAACATTCGTCAGGTTGTATAACTTTGTTGTTCCTCAACAGGTGGAGGAAGGATGAGTGAGAGCGTTTTTATGTCTTTCTTCTATCAGTTGTTTTTGTGCAACTAAATTCCTTTCACATGTGTCAAAGTATTTTTTAGACTTAATAATACGTTGATAAAACACGGTGTTTATGATAAATGTAGAGCAACTAAAGAAGTTTGGGTAAATGGGATTAAAAAATATCACTTAGTTGACTGAAGTGTACAAGGATTCAAGTTCCAAGGTTTTTATCGTAAACTATTACATATTGACGACACAATCACGTGATCAAACTATCCTTCATTCTATTATTGTTATTGAAGAAAGTTGATCTAAATATCCATGTTTAATTTTCTGATCAACTTGTTTGCCAGATTGTCGGGGAAATTGATTATCTTTTTTTAAATATAAATGAACGTAAAAGTCTAACAAACATCCAAGTTCTTACATCTGTCTGTCTTTGCCCCTCAGTGGCACAGGTGGGCAGAGAACAGATAGCCCATTGTGTAGCTTTGTGCTTATCTTCAAACAAACAAACTGTCTGTCTTTATAAGTAACATACTTCTGGTTCTCTCCAACAGCCAGAAGACTGTACTCTACCAAAGATGAGCAGTGGGAAGAGCGAGCTAAGCCTTGACCGGAGTTTATCGACTGGCTTTGCTGTACCACCAATGGTCATTCCTCGAGCGAAACATCATCCGAAACAGGCAAGCTATGGTCTGTACCAGGGACAGATGTATGCTTGGTGAAGCAAACACCACTAAAGATGTCAGAGTCCTGTCCCTTAATGTTGATTTCTCTTCAAGACACGAAGATGGTTTTAATGTAGTTAAAACGTCAAGGACAAGTGTTCGTGGCGTACGCCATCTTGTATCATATAATCACTTGTATATTATGAACTATAACCTGAAATTATGCTTAACGTGCCGAGTGTATCAGGTAATTTTATTAACCTTGTAGCACTTTACTGAAATAAATATTATTCTGATAAATCCATATTGTCATGCAGTAAATCTAACCAATAGGCATGTTTTTAGTTTTGTTCATCAGGGAAGAAAGAAAATAAGATGAACGCTAAAATCTCTTTCGAGTTTTCGGTTCACTTGGGTATTATTGTTATTTCATTTCTGTATTCTTACGATAAAGATGGTAATTTCCAAACGTTCAAATAACGCACAAAACGTTTCGCACAATATTTAAAGTTTAACGGTTACTATATCACACTGATTCTAGTATAACCGGGAAGGTTATGGTGTAGATAACATACTTGTTCCAGTATAACCGGGAAAGTTATGGTGTAGATAACATACTTGTTCCAGTATAACCGGGAAAGTTATGGTGTAGATAACATACTTATTCCAGTATAACCGGTAAGGGTTATGTTGTAGATAACATACTTGTTCCAGTATAACCGGAAAGGTTACGGTGTAGATAACGTGCTTGTTCCAATATAACCGGAAAGGTTACGGTGTAGATAACATACTTGTTCCAGTATTACCGGAAAGGTTATGGTGTAGATAACATACTTGTTCCAGTATAACCGGAAAGGTTATGGTGTAGATAACATACTTGTTCCAGTATAACCGGAAAGGTTACGGTGTAGATAACATACTTGTTCCAGTATAACCGGAAAGGTTATGGTGTAGATAACATACTTGTTCCAGTATAACCGGGAAGGTTATGGTGTAGATAACATACTTATTCCAGTATAACCGGGAAGGTTACAGCGTGGACATCTTAAGTGACATTATCCTTATCGTTAAACTTTAATTTCATCATATTTAAAACATAGCTTTATTTAGTATTTGAAATATTCTGATGATACTAATGACCTCAGTATATTTAAGTTCAACGTATAAGTACTTTTTATTTACAGAATTTACAAACATAGTTGTTTCATATCAGTGGTTATCAAGTTTGTTTTTCTGGAACACCTGGATTTATTTTCCTAAGTGGACCGCAATGCTAGCTCGTCCTTTCTGGAATTATTTAACCTTTCCACGGTCCATCTGAATGGAGCCAATAGAAATCGTGCTGACATTTTTACTTTAATCTTACCTTACCACCACTCTGTTTGGTACCGTATGCTCATCTTCATAGGTCAAAGGTTATAGTTCTTCCTCGAGGTTTTCAACATTTTGATTCTTTACACTCCAAATAAAGATATTGACTGTAAATGTTGTTATATGTTTAGAAACGAAAATAAGTATATAATTTATCATTTGGAAACATATTTATAAAGCTTATATCTTGAAAAGGTTTCAAACTAGTCTAGGCCAGGTGGTTAGGGCGCTCGAATCCTCGTCACATCAAACATTGTCGCCCTTTCAGCCATGAGGACGTTATAATGTGACGGTTAATCCCACTATTCGTTCGTAAAAGAGTAGCTCAAGAGTTGGCGGTGGGTGGTGATGTTATATCATTACATATGAAATATTGTTATTATAGACATATTTAAGTGTTTTTACGTACTAATTTACTCTCGTTAATCAGTGTTTTAGAGTAATGTAAGAAATGGAACTTGACTTTATATGGTTACAAAAATAAAATTGTAATGAAAGGTTAGAATTTTTAACACATAATGAATCACGTGACGTTCTTTGAGTCGTGTCCCCCGACAAGCAACTTTTTGATTTTTATGTATTGAGATTGATTTCCGTAAAAATCGTTAGCATTTCTATCACAATAGGAAATGTTTTAAATGAGGATTTT